TCAGGCTTTCCATGGCTACTAATATTTGCAAAAGGCAAAATATTAATATTAGCATTTGCAAAAAGCAAAATATTAATACTAACATTTGCAAAAGGCAGGACCAATTGGTAGAAAATATAAAAAATACCTTGTTGCATGAATATCCTTCTGCCCAGAGCTGGGAGAAAAGTTACTTTTTTGGACTGTAGCTCCCTAGGTTTCCATAGTCCAGGTTTCCATTGTTGCAGTCCAAGAAAAGTAACTTTTCCAAGCTTTGGTTCCCTCCAATGGCACAGCAGGAATAAAGAAGCACTTTTATTGGTCTAATCTACTTTTGCTGCTTCTTCCTATGTTTTATTATGAGTTTTGTGTTTCTGTAACAGTTTTGCCTCTTGCAACAATGAATGCCAATTAATGATTGGAAGTCTCACACTTTTCCTTTCATGCACTTTAGAAATATGTATCTCTGATGTAACTATTTCTGGAGTATATACATTTTCCTAAAATGTTGCAAATCAGAAATACTTCCTTTTAATGCAACTATTTCTGGTATGCACACATTTTCCTAAAATGTTGCAAATCAGAAATACTTACTTCTTTTGCATATATTTCTGGAATGCAAACATTTTCCTAAAATGTTGCATTTCAGAAATTGTGCATCTCCAATGAGGCTGTTTCTTGAATACTTATATTTCCAAAGATTTTGCAACTCAAAAATACATATTTCTAATGCAAGTATTTCTGGCATGCAAACATTTTCCTTATTTTTGGAGTATCTGCATTTTCCTAAAATGTTTGCATGCCGGAAATACTTGCAACCACTTCTGGTATGCTGACATTTTCCCAAAATGTTGCATTTCAGACATTATGTTTTCTAATGCAAGTATTTCTGGTATGCAAACATCTTCTTAAAATATTACATTTCCGAAATTATGCATCTCCAATACTTACATTTTCCAAAAATGTTTCAATTCAGAAATATTTGCCTCTCATGCAGATATTTCTGGAATCTTCACATTCTCCTCAAAATTTGCAATCCAGAAATATATACTCTTGATTGATGTAGCTATTTCAGAAATATCTGCATTTTTCTAAACAGCCCAGAAATATTTATTTACCTCTGATGCAGATATTCTGGAATGGCTAAATTTCCCCCAAATGTTCACTCCAGAAATAATTTAAAAAACCTTCCAGGGCATTTGGAGGGAGACTTTTAGATTTTTCCTTATTCAGATTCACACCAGATTCATGTCCTTCTCTCCAACCATGAAGTAGGATGCTTTCAAGAGGATTATTCGAAATGTATAATCTACATTTATTAAAGATTTTACCTACGCTTGGCTCACAAAGAAGGTATGTAGGACCATTGTTTGCAGTTGTTGTGGACCTCTCCGAGGGTCTTCTTGGCAAGGTTTACTCAGAAGGAGTATGCCCTTGCCTTCCCCCTGAGGCTGAGAGAGTGTGACTTGCCCAGGGTCACCCAGCTGAGCAGGGATTTGAACCCCAGTCCCTTGGAGTCCTAGTCAACCTCTCAACCCACTATACCACACAGGCTTTTTCTGTAGGATGCACCACGTTCATGTTTAAAAAGAAATGCAACCAAATCTGCTATATACAAAAATACATGCTGATCCACTGCTTGATCCATCTCCCAGAGGCCATATTGAATCAACTGGATCCCCTTTGGAGATCCATCGCCCTGGAGAGTTCATTCCCCCCCCGAACCAAAATAAAAAGCGTCAGTTCTTTGTCCAACCTGTGATGCCAAAGAAGCACCTCCGCAGTCTTTGCAGCTTGCTTTCCAAGGAAGCCCATGCAGATGGAGACCTCCTTTAAAGTTCGGACTACAACCAGGAGTGGATTTGCTGTCCCCGCTGACGTCGCTGGATCCGCCAGCTGCGGCCGGGATTCAAAGGTCAGTTGGACTCATCCAAATCCCAGTTATTTTCCCCCCGCTGGTCAGTTGCTCTAGAGAAGCCTGATGCGAGAGTCCAGTTGTTGCAAGTGATCCAGGACTCCGTGAGGAATGGTCGGATTCCACAGCCTAGAAGAGAAGAATGGAGCAAAAGGCAATAGAAGAGATTAGCTCTTACAGTGCTAGATTCGTAGAATGATAAAGAGTTGGAAAGGATCCCCCAGGGGTCATCCAATTCAACCCTTTTCAGCCATGCAGGAAGACACCATCCCAGCCCTCCCTGGGACAGATGACCATCCAGACGGACTGTAAAAGCCTCCAAGGAAGGAGAGCCCCTCCACGATGTTTGAACCTCAGTCCCCCAAAGTCCTCGTCCAGCACTTGTAGGATCATATAATCCATAAGACTCCTGGAGTTGGAAGAGACCCCCCCAAGGGTCATCCAGCCCAACCCCATTCTGCCATGCAGGAGGAGACAATGTGGCCACCCAGCCTTGCTTTCAAAATCTCCAATGAAGGAGAACCATGGTATCCTAGAGCTAGAAGGGGTCCCCAAGGAGTCATCCAGTCCAACCCCCACTTTCTGCCATGCAAAGCCCTCCCAGGGACAGATGGCCATCCAACAACTGCTTAAAAACCTCTAAATCAGGAGACTCCACCGCCCTCCAAGACAACAACAACAACAACAAATAATAATAATAAACATCTTCCACCATTGAATCAAGACATTCTTCCTAAGCTTGAGGTGGAATCTCTTTTCCTGTCGCTTGCATCCATTGCTCCTTGTCTTTTTGCTCTGGAGCAGCAGAAACCAAGCTTGCTCCATCCTCAAGCTTCATAGAGCAAGGGAACAAGATGAACTTGAACTCTTAACACA